ATATATACCCTATGACGTACAATATATACCCTTCTGTACCGAATCGGACAACCCTATCATATGGCTTCTATAGGGAAACCCTGCACCGGCAAGTGTATCGAAAGTTTCGGCCTTAACTTCTTGCTTTGTTGTTGCTATCAAAAAATAAAGAACAAAAGGATAATGAACACATGACAACCAACAAAGGCACACACAGCAGAGTGTGTGTGAGAGAGAGAAGGATATATGGTATAGTTCTGTGTGTGTGACGCAGTTTTCCGCTGAAAAAGGAAGGGTTTTCCGACGCTGGAGCCAGCAGCAACCGGCAGCACCTTTGTTTACTCCCTTTTGCCGGCAAATGTAAGATATTTCCAGCGAAAATATTCCCCTCGTTCGTGAGGTATTCTAATTAGCATATTGCTCCTCCCCTCCAGCTACTTCCTCATAACTTTCACCCTCCCACTCCGCCATTTTGTGTGTCATTAGCGTTTTCGGGCCATGTGTTTTGCTGTTGTGCTGCCATCTCCGGTTTACGGTGTACGGTGTTTGGCGGAAAAATCTTGAAAACTATCTACACAACAATTGTTAATCGATTTCCAATTATCGAGCAAAGAAAGCATTGAGGACGAGGCCTTGACACCGAATCCACGAGCAAAGATTCGGTCGCATTCGCTGAACAAATTCTCTATAAACAAACAGACGCATTCGGAGCAGAGACCCTTTATTACAAGTAATTCTGAATGTTCTATGCTAAAGAACTAAAGTACTAGTAGATCTGGTAGTAGATTTGCTCGAATTTGGCCCGAAAGGTGGGACAAAAGTTAGACAGAAAGAGCGGAACCAAGGCCTCGAGTTATGTTCTAAAATTCTTGGACTCCGCCTATCATCTCTAGCCCTAATGACCAATTTGATTCGTTTCCATCTATGTCTCTCTCTCCCTCTTCTCACACCAACACTGGCCGTTATATTTCGCTCCTCTCCACCGCACTGCACTACGAAGAGTGTGTAAGAAACACAATTTAAAGTGTAGATAGATCTGATTCTATCAGATTTCTTCTTCATATCTATGGAAGTTTTGGAAAATCTCCCCGACTGTAGGGACTCTCCATCTTAAAGCACAAAAGTCATGTGACAGAGACTGAGAGAAGACCTTAAGTAATTTTAATGTCTCTCGCCTGCAAGTACTGCATAAAGGACAACTTTACGGAGACCCAAGCCAAGCCCTAGAAGCCACCTTCTTCAATCTTCCTCAGTCTCCAGGCCCCAGGCACGCAACATAAACGCAAAGGGAAGTCCCCGGGTGTGCGGCGGGGGCTGGGGGCAGGAGACTATCGGGGAAGTGGTTTTTACTATCCAACGAAAATCTACCGCAACTAAAAACAAAAGTTATGTGTGCACGAAAAATCATGTCCAGTCATTTCCTGTACAACTTTCGGCCCAAGGACCGGTGGACACAACGCCAAGGCACCAGGACGGGACAGGACAGGCCCGGACAGGACCAAGCCAAGCAGGGGGCCAAGAGTGCCTTGGCAAGAGGCTTTCTGGCGCTGGCCTTTTATGGTCATAAAAATTTTATTATAAATTTTAATAATTTAGGCAAGCATATTGCTGGCAGCGAAAAGAACAGGGACTCCGGCACCGGCACCGGCACCAGCACCGGCTCAGTATCCGTATCCGAGCACTATCCAAAGTTTTCCCAGCCCTGTCCTGCTCAGCCCTGCCCGCCCCTCTATATCACCTGGCACATACGCACGCCGGGCATTTCCGGCTCTATATGCTGGCACTTCTGAGCCAGAGCCGGACTCCACAAGCAGACCAACGGACAGACGGAACCGTACCCGTACCCGTACACGGACTCGAACACCGACACGGACACGGACAGAGGAGAACACAGTCACAGTCAAAGTGCAAATGCCGTAAATCATGGCGCTGGTAAACAAGCAACAGAGAACTGAACAGAAAACCAGAAAGAAAACAAGAAAAGGACCTGCCATTTCGAAAGGGTCGACGATTCAAATACGCTCGCAGACCAGATCTCGTAATAAACATATTGCCTGGATATTGGATATTGGATAATAATCGGATTTGATGGGGAACATAAAGCAATACACTGCCCATAATCCCATGATGTTTGGGAGGGGGGGAATCTTAACAGAAGGCCAGGAGCGAAAGGGATTCCCTTCCCATTTAAGCATCGATTCTTCCATGTTAATCGCATTAATTGTTGCCGATAGTTTGTATCCTCTTAACGGAGAGATATATGTATATATAAATGAAATAAAGAACAACGTCTGCACCCAGTGGGAATGCCCTTCCTCTGCACACGGGGTATCCAGCAAGAAACGGAGCCACCAAAAAAAAAAACAAACACCATAGCCGGAGCCGTACGGCGTTACGATTGCAGCGGAGTGAAAAGGATAGCCACAGCGATACGCGATATGAGGATATGGGTATATGGTGGGATATATACGGATATAAATACCCGGGTCAGCTGCTGTCTTTTGGCGCGTTTCGTTCCGTGTGCTCTCTTTTTTTTTTGGACTGCTTTCTTTGGCCTTCCATGGGGCGCCAATTTGATGAAATCGTTAGCATTACCTTTTCGGGGTAGATGTCGACGCAGTTAATGCCTCGGGCGGCTGTATTGGTGGGGCGTTGGGCTGCCATTTTTTTTATTGTTTTTGTTTGTTAGGGCAATGGATCACGTGTACCAGCACCGCGATAAGACCAGAAAGAGGGTGGGGAGGGGGTTTGCGTGGTTGCAAGGTGCTAAATGCATTTTACCAGCTATTTGGTGCTTAATTTATTAAATCCAACGCCAGGGGAATGGACGGGCCACGACTGGCCATTAAAAGAACGGGTATAAATTATATCGATTGAAAATCAAACTCTATCTCTCTCTGTCTCTCTCTCTCTCCCTGTGGAGATGGAGTGTCCTGCTATGTCTAAGGCAGCTTTAAGGTCCTTAGGTCAGCGGCGTAAAAAAAAGCTGTGAACGCAAAAAGCAAAACCGAATAAATAAAAGACAAAAAGCAAACAAAAGCCGCAAATGCCAAGGCCAAACCTGGCACGGACAAGGGGCTCAAAGAAGAGCGCCAAAAGGAACATATGTTTGTGTTTGTGTTTGTGTTTCTGTGTGTGTGTGTGTGGAATGCATTCAAAGAGAGGTGGGAGGTGGGGGTGGGGGTGGGGGTCTGGGGGTTAGGGTGGGGACAAAGCAGCGGAAAATACGAAAAGTAAAAGGAAAATGAAAAAGGAAACACTGAAGCAGATACGCGTGCAAAGCTGCGCGCGAATATGTTTCAATTTCACGGCAAGCGACCACAGACTTACATTTACAGTTGCACACTCTGCCGTTACCGTTATGGCAGCAGTTGCAGCTGACGTCCGTCCCTGCTGCTGCCTGCCTGCTGCTGCAGTTGATGCCACCAAATCCAGACAACTGACAACCCACGCACCCCCTGCTGTTGCCCTCTCTCTGTCCCTGTCTCTGTCTCTGTCCCTGTCTCTGTCTCTCTGTGTCCACACAGCAGCAGTGATTTTAAGCTTTCATGTTTTTGTACGCGTGGCTTACGGGTTACTCGTGGCACCCACCGGGTATATCGACGACTCTAGGCCCATTGGAATAGGGAAAACTAATCGAGTTGATATGTCCTGGATCCTGGAACCACACCGATCAAGGGGTTCCACACTCGTATCTGATCCTGCAGTGGATTAAGGATGTACACACGCAGCCAACAATGCATCAAAGTAGAACAAACTAATGTCCATAGATTCCGAAATAGTTGTTCCCAAATAACAAACAAAATCGTAGGCCTAAAAAACTAGATAGAAATGCACTCAAATTTTGTTCTTAGGTTTCTTGGCTTCGAATTAAGGTTCCAGTTAGTTGTTGTTCCGAAAAAACCATTCGGCTTTCGAACCATTCGAACGAAAAGCAATAGCAAGGTGCTGTTCAGCGCCCAAATGTGCTGTTGAGCGCAAAACACAGGGTTGATTTGATGCTTTGTTTATTTTCTGGAAACTGATTCGCAGGAAAACAACAATTTAAAAAGAAAAACCCAAAGATAGGTGGCTGCCGAGAAGCAGAAAAGATATGAGACTGGTTTTCTACTTTTTCACCTTTAACTCTCGCCTGAGCCCTTGAAAATCAATCAGAAATGTTAGCCCGAAGTCGAGAAACCGTCCCAAAATCGAATTCAAGAGGTGACATTTCATAAACTAAAGACAAAACAAGGTATATTCCTATACCTATCGTATATATATACCGAAAATGATAGCAATCGAACAAATTAACAGCGGTTATGGGTATCCCGAAAGTCGTAATATATTCAAAATATATCATTCGTATTCAGTTCTGTTTGCCTCGCGCCCTGCACATATGTACATGCACTCTACTCTCTTCTTATTCATTTGGTTTAAACTTGACCCACAAAAACAAATTTGATTGCATTCGTTGCCATGCGAGGAGCAACCCAGAGAGTGAGGTGGAGGTGGAGGTGAATGGTGGCTGCACCTTTTCCACCGTTTTGTTTGTCCAATAATTATTTTTTATGGAGTTTGTTTTCGCTGTTGATTTAATTCGAATTGCACCGAGGGGGCGAGAGCCGTGCTGTAATTCAACTAAAGGAATACGCGGAATTAAATTTAATACAAAGGAAAAATAAAGGGGTATAAATGTGCTCCCTTGGAGCAGAAGCAGATCCAATCTATTTATTTATTTACCCCATGCCTGTCCAACATCCTGTCCGCCCCAGAGAGAGAGACTGAACGACTAGCAGCCCTGCCATCTACTTGACATGTCGATGACTCCTTGCTAGCGCCACCTGGCAGTTATGTTAGGCTGTATCTCCGCCAGGTGGCGTCAGTATGCTGGTCTTCAAGCAACACAAGGTGGCGCCATATTCATATGTAGAATATGTCAAGATCACGTTTTTAAGAAATTTAAATCTGGATATATAAATATGAAAATAATAATTCTACTGTTAAAGTGTAACTTAATAAATTGAATCTCTCTCTTGCAGCCGTACTAACACTTCTGCGGCGGCGAAAATGAAGAAAATGCGCAGAAGTCAGCTTTTACGGGTGCTTCCCCTGGCCGTACTGCTGCTCGAAGTGGCCCTCCTGCCCGTCTCCGTGCTGGCCAAGTCGAAGAACAAGAACAAGAACAACCAAAACAACGCCCATCATGGCGAATCGACGGCCTCAGCGTCGGCCTCGTCCAACGACGACAACAAGCCCCGGAGCGGCGAAAACGGGGGCCAGCAGTTCGCCATGGAGCCGCAGGATCAGACAGCCGTTGTGGGATCCCGAGTGACGCTGCCCTGCCGCGTGATGGAGAAAGTTGGGGCCCTCCAGTGGACCAAGGATGATTTCGGCCTGGGCCAGCATCGCAATCTGAGCGGCTTCGAGCGTTACTCGATGGTTGGGAGCGACGAGGAGGGCGACTTTTCGCTGGACATCTATCCGCTGATGCTCGACGACGATGCCAAGTACCAGTGCCAGGTGGGACCCGGTCCGCAGGGGGAACAGGGTATCCGTTCAAGGTTTGCAAAGCTCACGGTTCTGGTGCCGCCGGAGGCCCCGAAGATCCTGCAGGGCGACTACATGGTAACCACTGAGGATCGCGAGATCGAGCTCGAATGCGTGTCGGTGGGCGGCAAGCCAGCCGCAGAGATCACCTGGATCGACGGCCTCGGCAATGTCCTCACCAAGGGCATCGAGTACGTGAAGGAGCCGCTCTCCGACTCGCGCCGCATCACCGCCAAGTCCATCCTCAAGTTGGCGCCAAAGAAGGAGCACCACAACACGACCTTCACCTGCCAGGCCCAGAACACCGCCGATCGCACCTATCGCTCCGCCAAGCTCCTGCTCGAGGTCAAGTACGCCCCCAAGGTGTCTGTGTCCGTCGTGGAGGGGGCCCTGGCTGGCGGCAAGATACCGGAGGGCGCCGAGGTCGTGCTCAGCTGCCAGGCGGATGCCAATCCCCCGGAGGTTACCTACAGATGGTTCATCAACGACGAGCTCATGACGGGAGATTTCACCACCAAAATGGTAAGTGCTGCCGCCACTACATACCTCTCTTCCTCTTATCTGACACCCCAAATACCCCAATCTCCAACAGATCATTCACAATGTCACCCGTTCGTACCACGATTCGATTGTCAAATGCGAGGTGGTCAATGCCGTGGGCAAGAGCGAGGAGAGCGAGACCCTGGACATAAGCTGTAAGTATCCAAGTACTGACCAGCAACGTAACCTCCTTTGATTCTTTGTCGCAGTTGGACCCGTGTTCCGCAAGCGTCCGCAGACCGTTGAGGCCGACCTGGGGGCCACCGTGAGCATGCGCTGCGAGGTGGCCGGCAATCCTACACCGGAAATCGAGTGGGTTAACGAGAACTCCGCCCAGGTAGGGACAACAAACGCTACTCTCGGGGGAACAACACTCACGCTCTCCCCTTTTCCCTTTCAGATCGTGGGCCGTGGCACGGAGCTGAAGATCAAGGTGAGCAGCGAGACGGCAGGACGCTATATCTGCAGGGCGGAGGTCACCGGATTCCCGGAGATCGGCGCCGAGGCACTGGTGCATGTGAAGCGGGCCCCAATCATCACCTCGCACAAGGTGCAGTTCGGGGCGGTGGGCAACAAGGTGAAGATCGAGTGCCTGGCCTTCAGCATACCCAAGGCCGAGCAGATCCTGTGGTCCTTCGAGAACAAGGTGATCAACATGAGCAGCGCCGATCCGGACATATACATTTTCGAGGAGCAGCACCTGCCCGAGGGCGTGCGGGCGGCCCTGATCATCCGCGAGAGCCGGGCGACCCACTTTGGCAAGTACAACTGTACCGTGATGAACTCGTATGGCAGCGACTCCCTGCTGATCACCGTGGTCCGGGAGCCGGGCAATATACCCGTGCTGCTGGTGGTGATGGGCTCGATGTTCTCCGTGGCCATCGTCCTGATGATCGTGATGATTGTGGTCGTGTACAGGAAGCGGCGCAACCGCAAGAAGCCCATGCCGGCGGACGTCATACCGGAGGCATCGCGCGGCGGCGACAAGCTGAACGAACTGAAAAGCGAGCTCCGATCCAAGGCCTACGACGTGGAGTACTCCGAGGCGGGCAGCGAGGGCCTGGCCATCACCCTCAACCAGTCGCCGATGCCCGATGTCCAGATGAAGGGCGCCACCCTGGGCGTGCCCCTGGCCGGCCCCGTCAAGTTCGATGAGCGCTTCTCCGGGGACTTCACCGACCGCTACAATCGCCAGTGCCACATCAAGAATCTGAAGAACCACCAGGAAAACGCCTACAAGGAGACCTCCGCCAACGGATACGCCCACTACTTTGAATACGCCCTCGACTACAGTCCACCCGCCGAAGCAGCCGGCGGCAAATCGGCCAAGAACTCCGCCGGTGGCAAGAACTCCGCCACACTGCCGCACTCGGCTGCCCCCGTCGGTGGTGTGGGATCCGTGGCAGCCGCTGCGCTCGTCGGTGGGGGCGGTGGGGGTGCCAGCCTACCGCGCAATCAACGTCACGATCAACAGCAGTCACAGCAGGCCAATGGATTCATGGGTATGCATAGTCGAAGACACAAATCTTCCTTTGATTCGAGTAATTTTACCGTGCCGTACCGTATTTTGCAGGACAACCGCTTCTACAGAACGGCATCGACAGTCGCTTCAGCGCCATCTACGGCAACCCCTATCTACGCACCAACTCCTCGATCCTGCCCCCTCTGCCACCGCCAAGCACCGCCAATCCAGCGGCCACGCCAGCCCCACCGCCATACCATGCTGCCCGACACCACCACTCGAACGGGGGTCTCAAGCACTACGGCCATGGCCACGGGGCCTCCCTGGCAGGCGCCACCCTGCACACTAGTCCCGCCACCGCCGGCGGACAGCTGATGTCCGGCGGAGGGTCAGCGGCGGCGAGCCTCAACAGCGGCATTGCCGGCGGGGCCGGGGGCAGTGTGAGCGGCAGCAGCTCGAATTTAACGGCTAGCAGCAATACGCTGGCCGCCACACCGTTGGCCCAGTCGGGCGTCGCTGGTGCCCAGTGTGCCCAGAGTCCATCCGGACAGTTCATACTGTCCAACAATGGCAAGGGTCACACCCAGAAGGGCCCATTGGCCACCCACGTCTAAGGAGGTGGCCAACGAGCAGGAAGAGTCAGTCTCTCTACCGATTTACATACACACATACACACATATACATATATACATCCATACTTAGACACACACACAACACACCACCCCACTACACATACATATATCGCATTAGAGAGCCATTAGCGTAATCGTAATCGTAATCGTAATCGTAATCGTATTTTAAAATGTGTCTATAGCGGAAAAAACTCTAGAAACCTAAGCGAGTGTGTAATTTTTTTTTTTCCACTATATATACATATATATATCTATACTATATACAAGAAAGAAAAGAAAACAAAACCGTATTGTGATTTATAGCGTTAATTATTTGATGGCAAGAGGAAAGCTCTCGTTGGAAAAACACGAAACGAAACGAAACGAAAAGAAATGTAACTCGAAATGAATGGCAAATTATATCAATTAGTGCAAATTTTAAGCAAATTTATTATCGATGGCAAGGCGGCGGGACCTTGTCCCCCCAGCCCCCTACCATATCATAGAACCTTATCAATTAAAACGCAACGTATCGAACAGCAAAAAAACAAAAAACCAACTACAAAACTTCAAAAGTTCATTTTAAACAGCGAGTTAAAACAAAAATTAAGAGCAAAGTGAAAACTATACAATTTTAAAGCAAAAAATAAAAAAGAAAGAAGAAAAGAAAAGAAAAATTTAAATTTAAATTAAATTAAAAATAGAAATATAATCATTAAATGCCTGTAGTTAGTTCCAAGTAAAAAAAAAGGATAAAGATATGTAAAACAGAAACAGAAACAAAAAAAAAAAACAATTTCTAAGCCAAAATTTATCAAATTTTTAGACTTAAAAAAAACAAGAGTAAATTAAACAAGAAAACAAAAAACGAAGAGAAAAAGTGTTAAGCAAAGGAGGAAGGAGAATAGCTGAATTTGACCTTTGACCCGGTCAAGCTTAGCCAAAATAAAACACACACAGACACACCCACACACACACACACACATATCGTTGAAACATCCAATGTTACCATATCCATATCCATATATATCCACAGTATGAACACTGAGAAAAAATGCCCTACAATGCCCCTTAGAAAGTCAGTATCATTTTGGGAGGGAACAAAATAGAAGAAATTGTATAAAAAATATGAAACACATGTATTTATAAACTAAACTCGAAAGTCCATGGATTTTTGGCGGGGAAACTTTCTAAATGAAGGCAGCTTTTTTTCTCTGAGTGTCTAAACAAATAAGCATGTACATATACCAGAGAAGATTGAGCGGAAATGAGACCTACTGGAATTCCATGGCACATACCTTTCAATTGGAATGAAGGAGAGGGCAAGCCAAGTACTGAAGGTGGAAGTGCCACTGCCCTTGGGGATACATCTTTTCGCATTCTCATACGCGAGTGATGCCCAATGCTGCTACCCAGTTCATTGCCCCACCCCGCCACGCCCCCCTAAATATATTATGTAAAGGATACTCCAGACTTGACCGGGTATCGGATACGCAGCGCCAGCATCAATGTGAAAACTTAGAAATTTTTTTGTCTAGCCCATAAGAAAGTAAATGAAATTTAATATTAAATCAATTATGTATAAAAAAAAAAGAAAACAAAAGAAAAATCAAACGAAATATATATGTATATCGAATATAGAGCATATATATAGATGTGTATGTCAACGCTTAAATAAAGTTAGTAACTAAGATTAGCGAGAACATATTTTTTTGTTTGCTTGTTTTTTTTATGTCAGCATAGCGGATTAAGCCTACTTATAAAGAAAAATATACATACATACATATATGCAAACAATTTTAAAAGTAACATTTAAAAAGCTTAGACACAATTTGTAAAACATTTGAGCGATCTACATACCAAAAAAAAACATAAAACAAAAAACAAAAAATAAAAATAGTAAAATCGATAAGTGAATGTGAAGCGAAACTTTTGAACACGAAATGCTGCCTTATGATTCCTTGTTGGGTTCTTAAAAACATTAAGCCAATACTGTAATTAATTTTTTTTTTAAATATACACACATATACATACATACATGCATACATAAGTACATACATATTTATATAGAGTAATACAGAAAATGCTTTAAATGTTTTTTTTTTTATTTATTGAATCTTTATTTATATTCACTCGAATCTACGCTATTCTTTCCTTGAGAGCTGAGCAGAGAGCTTTTTCCTCGAAAACAACTGAAAACTGAAAAAAATAAATTAAATTTTTGGATAAATTATCAAACGATTCAATTAAGCGTTCAATTAAATAGCAGTTAAACGAGAAACGAAAAACGAGAATAAATCCAAGAAAACAAAATCCTATTAAGCCAAGTATTCGTACATTATATTTGTAACAATTACGAAAGGGAAAATGTGAACTGCATGGAAAACGATAACTAAGAACGAAGTGCGTATAAAGGAAAAGCATGCAAGCAGAAAAAAGGAAACAACAAAAACAAAAAACGAAAACGATAATTCAATTAAATCTTAAGTCAAAAAAGAACTCAAACTAGTTGAAATGAAAAAACCATAAAAAAAAACGAAATAAAATAATTCAAAATGCTACCAAAAAAAAAAATTCTTTTATTTGGTGGATCCTTGGAGACTGTAAAGTACATAAATGGTAAAAATGTATTAAAACATGATTGAATATTTAAATCTTCGCATATTTTTTTGTTTTATCTTTTTCATATTTTTCTTTGTTATGTCGTTAGGACTTTTTTCCACGATATTAAACCCCATTTTATTATTAATTTGTTGCAAGGGAATACCTGTAATTTTTAGATGAAGCCATGCTTTCACTCAACTGAAACTTAATTTTAAAAAATCAAACCAAATTTTTTAAATCCTTAATTGAAAAGGAGAAAACCAAACCCACAGCTAAAAAATACCAAGACGCAAAAATACTCAAGTGCCTAACAACGGACAAAACAGCAACTACAGGGCGAACAAACAGAGTAGAGCAAAGAGAGGCAAGATAGAAGGGAAAACAAGTCTTTTAATTTCTGGTTGCAGCCATTTTGAAATTTCGAATAAAAATAATGCAGGAGTGAGAGTGAGAACGCAGGCCAGAGAGCGCAGTCGCAGCTGCACAAACAGAGCTCTCTGCGCTCTCTCTCTCTCGCTCGCTCGCTCGATCCCCTCGGCTGGCTGCGCATGAGCCTAACCACACGCTCTCCCTTAGCAACAATTGACTCGAAAGAGCGAGAGTGCGTTGTAAGCCTTCATGGTATGTTAAAAAAACGGGTGAGCTGAACCATGCATGCGCTGTATTTGGCTGAGTATTTTACCCGCTTTCCATACCTTTTTGTTTCTCAGCAACATAAGATCTCTAGCCCCATGCTGCCAATGCATCTCAAAATTCGCGAATGTAGGATAATATACGAGAAGAATTTACAAACAGTATTATCTTACGCGGTTTAGCTCAAGTTGTTCGCTTGTTTAAGTAGAGGGGCTTAAGTGGGCAAAGCTCGTTTTTCATTGCTATTTTCGGTATATTTTGAAAATGAGTGGTATAAATGAGGTATGTTTCGGTATATTTCTGAGGGTCAGACGGTATCCGCGGCCACACTGCTGCTCTGTCGTGCTCATACATGCAACGAAAAACTGAGTTGGGAGAGCGTAATTTGAAATGAGCAATTTATCGTTTTCATTTATCGATAAATCCGCGGTCCAATGTTATCAAATTTCCAATTTTTTTGAACCGAGCGGTTGCTGAGCGCGTCGTCGTCAAGTCAAAAAAGGTTCAAAAGTTGATAACGGGTTGTTGAGCCGGACAAAGACCACGAATAATAGTATATTTCACATTGCCTGCAGTTTAAATTTTTTTGGGTGACAGCAAACGAGAAAGAAGGAAAGAGAGAAATAGTTAGTGCATGTTTGTTCAAAAAAAAGGAGTGAAAAAGAAACGACAACCATAACAACAAACACGCAAATCGAGTGTGTCCCAAAAGCAGCAAAAACAACAATATGGCAGGCCCGATCTGGCCATAGCCCATACGGTGTTTCCTTCCAAAAGTAATATCAAACCACAGAAAAAAAGCCGAAAGGAAAACCCTAAGGAAAAACAGCAAATACTTCGCGAGTGTGTGCGTCGTGTATCGGTGTGTGCGTCTCTCTCTGTGTGTGCGTGCGTGTAATCGTCGGGAGAGAGCGCGGAAAGGAGCGTCTCGTGTCCGTTGAAGAATTTGAATTTCGTTTCCCTTCTGTTCCTGCTGCAAAAATATTTGCCACTATTCCTGGTTTTTTTGTTAATATTTTTTTTTTGCGTGGAAATGTCGTCGTCGCTGTTGTCGTCGTTGACGTCTCTGCCACCGTCGGCGTTGTCGGGAGCGCGACTCTTTTCAAATGTTCTGCCCGCCTGGCTCCTAAATACATAGAAAGAGGAGACGCAGGGAGGGGAAAAAGGTGCAACATTAACTAACGAGATTTGAAAGAGAAACAACAATAAATAAAGTGCAACAACAGAAGCAACAAAACGAACTGCAACACACAAAGCAAAAACACACACACAAACACACTTAAAAAGAATCGGGCAAAGAAACAGCAACTGGAAGGAATACTAATACTGGAAAACTGGATTACAATGCATTTGCAGCGCAGCAGACAGCGCAGTCGCGCATTCACTTGGATTAACAAAATGTTCGCTCTGCCGCTGCTGACGCTGACGCTGATGCTGGCGTTTGCAAATTTGCCGAGCAGCGTCCAAGGAACGGGTAAGTGGGGTACGAAAGAAGGAAAATAAGTACACGAAAAAGAGGCGAACGGTTAGGAAACGATCATACATACAACATAGGTGGGAGGGGTGGAGTTTCTGCTGGTTGGGGCTACTAGATATTTTTGAGGGACAAATTTGAAAAATTCCTTTTACTTGAGAAATCCATTCAAATAGAAATTCCTCATGTTTCGCGCATTCCTCTTATTTCCCCTTCCTTTGTGCTGCTTCAAACACCTCATTCCACCTTTTCCTCATTCTTTTATGCTGTTTTCGTGTTTCCTTTTCGTTTGTATGTTCTTCGGGGTTCCCTTTTCCTGGCTGGTTCGCTTTTCGCTTTGTCTGTCTTCGGACAGGTGGTCGGTCGTTCGTTCGCTCGTTCGTTCGT